TTCCTTCTGTGGCTGCATTCGCTGTACTACATGAAAGTAAAACTCTCAACTGGAAGAGAAAAATTATTTTAACAATTCAGACTGAATAATTAGATGCCAATTTCAGAATGTGTTTTGCACAGAAATACAACTTCTAGAGAAACCTCGTGAGTGGATGCATGCTTTTTAGTCTTTACTGTTGCCACCTTCACAGGTAAAAAACCTCATCTTTCAATCTCTGACCACACATGATCTTGAATGACTTGATTTGTTGTGAAATTAGTCATTCTTCACAGCAGAATTTTAAGAGTAACACCTTTCTTTTTCAAAAGATGCAGCTAGGTAATTTTTTCCTCTATTTTTTCATGAAATAAAAGAAGGCATTCAACTCAATCTGGATTTTGCTCATTTTTAACTCAACCTCTAGATGGTATAAGCATGATCAAGTGTTGTTATAGAAAGATAGCCAGAACTCTTAAAGGCAATTAATTTGGACTTGAACTCTTCTTTCTTACATTACTTTTGATCTTTCTTTTAAAGCAAGTCTAAGTTCATCATCCAAGATATATCTTTTTTAGTGCTTTTTGAGCAAGTTCAAAACACCACTGCAAGCAGCAGATGCTGATACTTGCATCAGATGTCAGAGTAACAAATAAAACGTTCACTGAACTGCAGAGCCCACATTAACAATCTGAAAATGGTATACCAAAAAAAATCTCCATAATTTCTTGATCTCATGTTACTCTACTCTCAAAAAGAGAGTCAGATTCATCCATCACCGATGAAAGACACCTGAGCTCTTCCCTTCTTTTCTTTCCACTACATAAAAAGGCTACATATCCAACTAGAGAGAAAACATGTGTCTACACATCATGGAGCCACTGAGATCCAATCACATTTTATTTCCCAAATGCAGAGCCCTGTATAAGCGAGCACAATTTGATTAAGACCGAGTCACTGATAGATGTTTAGAGAAACATAGTGATTTATTCAGGAACCGTTTCCTAATTCCTAGATACTGTAACTCATAGATGTGACATTACCTTAGCAATGGAATATACGAGTAGAGCCACACATTGGCAACATCACCATCACCATACACACGCAGGCTCAGACTAGAGTGGCAAGAGAGAATTTCAAAAGCCTTTTGACAAGATCTCATCTGTGCCAGTGCAGATGCAAAATTAAAGGTAAGAAGAAAAAATGCTTCCTCTACACAAGACCAAAGCATTTTTTATCCAGTTCTTCCAGACTATATTCAACAACCCTTTCCTAAAAAGGAAGTTTGGAACTATTAATTCAAATTGTGTCTGCGTATGACACTACCCAAGATTTTGGCTGTTATTTTATTTAATCATTTTGGCTTTGCTCCCCCATTGTAACACAGTGCACACTTTGCTGAGCACAGGTTTTTTTTTTTTTAGACAAAACAGTGAGTGATGGAAGCACACAGATTCTTTTGTTTGTGCATGCCAGAGAAGCTTCAACAACACAAGCAACAAAGCTTAAGTGTCTATATATACACACAAACATGAATACATAAGAAGATAAACATTACTAACAATCTCTCAGTAACAGGAAAACAAAACCTTCATCTTTATTTTTTGTTTGCTACTTTTAAAAAATTCAATGTTTGTATACTATCACCCACCAATTACTCCAGCAAAGATTTTGTATTCCAGCAGGTTTTAGTCAACAATCTGTGGACATTATAGGTTGAATTACTATTTATGATACCTTTAATAATTTTAAAACAATTTTTAAAGTAACTACATTAACTATAGCATATTTGTAACGGTCTGCAACCACTTTTTCAATAACTTCTCCAAAAACCCAACAGTACATGAGGATTGTTGGATAGTACTCTGCCAAACTTGTTACCTGAAAAGTGCAATGTAGATTTGGTGCTCTATATTCAATAAGGTAAAAGACCATTGAAGTGTATGCAGTTCATTGTGCAACAGTAAAAAAAAAAAACAAACACTGAATCCACTGAACAAAACTGGACCATTCTATTTAAAACATGATTTACTTTTGAGGAATAAAGTTACGTGGCTGCTCCCTTCTCTCAGCATCCATGGCTTTTAGCTGCTAACTTGAGGATATGTCCATGGTCCCAAAGAAACATAAATCAACAGATCACAGTAACAGAAACTACTAATTGATGTCACAGTGCTAACCAATTACCAACCAACATGAGGAACACAATCCTGCCTTTCCCTATAAGCAGAATGTAGTCTTGTTTAAAAAAAAAAAACAAACAAAAACAAAAACAAAACCAAAAACAACTGCTTATTAAGCTACGCTGTCTGATAAGTTCCTGCAATGAGCTATCGAAACGCGATTTCTGGAACAGAGAATGGTGTAGAAGAAAAGCTGCCACCCAAAAGACAGTTTGACAGTCAGTCAGATCTCGTATTAATATTCTTCATGCATCTCTTTCATGCTACCATCCCAAAAAAGTTTTTGTTTTTTTTTTTCCAGCAATCATTTTAAAAAACAAAGTTATAAATAAGTATACTTCTAGCCAACTTATGAACTTGAATATTTATGTGACAGTTACAAAATGAGGGGATAAAGACACAGACACTAAGCTTACAACCTTAAGAAACAGGAGCGACCTTAAGAGCTAACAAACTTTACTATTTTATTTAACAGTATAAGTTCTAGTTGCAAATAAAAACATCACAAAACAGAGTGGATTATTTTCTGAAGACAAAAGAATAAAAACCAACAGTAGCTTCCTGAAAATAAAGTCACACATTTAAAACTCACTGCTCTTCCAGCCTCTCAGTAAAATTTTGGACTAAGTGTCTATTAATTAAACATTGGAAGAAAACTGGTCACTGGTTCATTAGCTCAACTTTCTGAAATACTCTGAAATTCCTTCGCAAGACAGAACTGAGAAAAACAAAAACAATGCTCGAGGACAAAAATGAGGTAAGCAAAATGTAAAATGTCAACAATGCTTCAACAACTGTGCATGATAGGCAGAATGCATAATCTGTAAAAAAGGCAAGCAACGACCATTGCAAAACTTCTAGAATCACAGAGTAATGAAAGTTACAGTGAAATTTTACAAACACCGTGAAGAAAACATATGCATGCAATACTGATGGTCAGTATACAGCTCTTGTGCAGATAAAGATAAAACATAAAAAACAACACTCAGATGCCTTAGTCTGCTTTTGTTGCAAAAGAGAACCATTTCAGCCCAGTTTTTGCTCCAAGCAGAGCGTGGTAGCAAAACTGGCTCCTCTACTATGGTGACTGCTTTTCTTCCACATGTGTGGGGGAAAAAATCCTTCTGGAGTTACAAGAGAAAATAAGCAGGGTGCTAAGAATCAAGTCAATCAAGTCTTTTGCTTAAAACTATTAGGGAAACACTGATAAGGATTAGCAGTTCAGAGAAAAAGAAAACACCTTAAGGTTTGTTTCTTTTTAAAAAATAAGTCTGTAAGTAGATAATTTAGTGGCACCATAAGATTAACTCCTTATTCTCTTGGAAAGAAAACTCTATGTAGCAGGAGTCAGATCAACTCTGTAACAGACCACAATTCTTAAGTTAAAAGCACATTCTTAAGTAAAAATCTGGCTATAATATGGCAACTTTGAAGGCTGCCACAGAAGCTGACACAAGAGGAAAGTTATAGGCAAAGAATTTTTAGGCCTCCTAGCAACATTCCTTGCTGTCATCAGACACCACAGTTGATGTTGCTAAAAGTCAGTTCCTGTGCCTGAACAAGTAGGAGCAAGAAGAAAGCGTGTGAAAAATCCTTGTCCTTATCTGCCTGATGCACAACTGTCAGGATGGAAGCACAGTGATGAGCACCATAGAAAACACATTTGACAATGGCGAAAATATCACACGTGACTGCCTTCTAACATGCTTTTCTCCTAGTATTTCTGTTACTAGCTTCCCTTATCAGCACGAAATGTCACATAACTGTGTTTTTATATAGAATTCATAAACAGTATGCTATTTTTATGGAGGTTTTTTGTTATTTTCTCAGTAGAATTATCAAGATCTTTGATTGAATCCTTATCCTCTTCAAATACTCTTCAAACTTTGTTTTCTCACCTATTTTATGAAACTAACTTTTGAATGACACTTTAAAAGTTTTAGATTTAAGTAGTCACCTACTTAAAAATGAGCAACTTAAAGTAAGATCAGGAAATTAGCACAGTTTCTGCCACTCATTAATAAGATAATTACAACCACACTTGTTATTGTGAAATAATTTTCCTAAATTCCACCACTGCATTCAGATGATTCAGAATTGTGATTACACAGTGTCAGTGTAGATTCTTTACTACAATACATTAATATTGTGTACTTTAACATTTGAATCTTTTTCCACTGTGCTGCATATTCAAGTATGGTGATTACTGCAGCTTTTATATTACAAGTATTGATATATCAGGTTATTGCAATATAGAGGAATAAAAGTGAAATTATATTCTTCTTGTAACAGTTCCCTGAGGGGAAAAAGTTCCCTATAACCCATGATCAAGAAAATTTAGATGTTTTCTTACAACATTTTAATCTTTGGAGTTGTCTTCCTATGAGAAACTAAGATCTATCTATATGTTTGAGAAAATGAAACACTGATTGATTATGATTAGGTCAAGAATATTGAAATCTACTGGAATTCTTCTCAATCACCATCCTACACCAGGTCCTTCTTATGTCTGATAAGAGCAGGAAAGCATTCTTCTCAAACAACTGGGTCTTCCGTAGTTTGCATACAGATCAGTAATGGTATGCAAGTCTTCTTTTCCATAGGGATTCAGATCTAAACTCAATAAATACGAGTTTAAACTATGTTTTTAGAAACGGTAATTTAGCAGTAAAGATTTTCTTATTCTATTTTGGAAGTAGAATGAAAGATTTTCCTAGTGTAAGCAGTGTAAGGAATGGTCTTGCTATATAAGGTGCTATCTTTATTTGTATAGGCTCAGAAGTTAAAATTAATGGAAGCCTTTGTTTATTTGTCATTCATCTGCTTTTAAATACTTACAGTGAAAAATACGGAAATCAATGTATGGATGAGAACCTCTTCTCTCTGTTTCAAATCCTGCCCGACTTCTTACTCGCACATCTCCTAGAAACAGGGTCAAGAGTGAAATAAAAGTGTGGAAGAGTGGCAGAGATAAAAATGCAAATGAACATAGCCTGGAGGGGTAAAGATTCATGTACTTAATGGAATAGGGTTATTCAAACAATAGGCCTATTTCAATGCTTTTCGTTTTAAGGTGAAATTCAAAACAAAGTTTGAAGACTTTTTAAACATGCAACTGCATGCTTCCTTGTCAAAATCTCTCCTGCCTATGCATACGTTGCCAGAAGCATGTGATAAGCATTCAGATGAAATTAGGAACAGCTTGCTACATCAGTATGGTAAAAATGCACCTTGATATGACAGGAAACAACATTAAAGTTTATTTGTTCCTCAGGAACACACACGAAACAAAAACATTTTGTATAGTACAAGATTCAGCTTCTAGAAATGGTAGCTTTTAGCAAAGAAGCTAATAATAATATGGTTTTATATTACGTAATAGAATGCTTTCCCACTAGCATTTACTTACTTGTGCTCAGCTGTTTGAATATTACACATGAGCCTATTAAAATACCAAAACTCAGTATTAAAATTTTATAAAACTATTTTGCACTGCAGTTTAGACTTAACCTGAATCTTTTAGCATGCTCGCTGATTTCTATTTAGGCATTTTAACCAACTGAAAGCTGATCAGTATTCTTTCATAACGTAGTTACATACATTAGCGGAAGTAATTCGCTTAATGAAAAACTTTCACTTTAAAACCTTCAGCAATGACAAATTTGGGCAACCTGAGGATCAAACAACAGTATTTCTCTCTAAGATCCTAACAAAAAATAAAGTGAAATTTCAGATTGTTTTTCAGTATTCTGGTTTATATTATGAAAACCCTCCAAGGGTATCATGTTCCTCTCCTCAAACACAGTGATTTTCTTATCAATCAGAAGTATTTAATGCAAGAAATGGATTGGTTTTAAAAAGAATAAAAAACAGCTACTTAATTTTCAGCAACCGCTACTATTGTGCTTTTTTCTTTTCCTTGCAACTTGCTAACTTATAAGAGTCTAAATCAGAAGATACACGAAGATACTGACCAAAACGTTAGTGACATGCTTTTCACAATTAACAAATATATTTCCAGAGATAAGTATCTATAAACACAGACGTATCTATAGTGACACATTTCACATGAATGTTATCTTCTGAGGCATGCTGGAAGCAGCACAAAAGATAAGCAGCAGGCTCCCTGGTAAGGAGTCTAGAGTCTTTGTTTCAGTAAAAACATACCAAACACAAGTCTGCTTTGTTGCTTTTTTTTTTTTCCTCCTTGAAACTTAAAAACTTAACAGAGCTACAAGGTAAAATAAGCTGCAAGGTCTATTACTAACTGTAAAAACCATCATTTAGACCACTGACAATATAATGAACTATAAAGATTTCAAGCATTCATCTGGTCAGAGATGAAGAGGCTCGTCTTTTTCCAGACAATACAGAGGCAGCAAATTGTAGAACTCTTCAAAGACAGCTGGTGAATGTTGTTTGAGAAATGAGCGAATAAAAAGGAAAAGACAGGAAGCTTAGGAAAAGGAGAGGTGAGTGCGTTAACAGTTGTGTAAGAAAATATCGGTTTATACAAAGGAAAACGCAATTTTCCTTACCCATCACATCTATTTATCTGACAAATCAGTCACAGCTATGGCTGCGTGACCTTTCAGCACACCAGCCGCACTGAGCAGTTGAGCTGATTTTTAACAAAATATGATACAGCTTTTGTGAATGGCACTTATTTTTCAAAGCATTCTTAACCTTTGAAATTTTACCAGCCTGCACATTAACTAGCATATAGTTTTGGGCAGCATACAAAGGGTTTTGTGAATAATTTACTTGTTAGAAGAGTTGAGAACAGGAAAGGTTCACAGAAAAACACATGGAGACTAACACAGAGCTCGGCAAACTACAAAACAAGTAAGTTCAGCTGACAAATAATACCCAGAAAAATTCTCTGTGCTTTTTTCTACTTGTTTTATTAGCTAGTGCCTCACCTAACAATTCAGCTAGGATAATAGTAGCCCCATTTCTTCTGAAAAGCTCACAAGGTTGTGGACTTTGAGTAGGAAAGAAAAAAATAAAAGCAGAGTAAGACTATTGCTTTTACCAGGAGTTATATTCAGAACACACTTGTTTTTATTCTGGCATTCTGGAATAATTATCAGTTCTCCAGGACTGGAATTTATCACAGTACACCAAACAGAAATTCCTACTGGGTCAAAACAAAAGCAGAAGAGCACAACGATACTAATCTCAACTGCATATATGTAATTAGTCCCAAACATCCAGAAGTACCTGACCATCATTATGTATTCACGGTTCAACTGACCTGACCTGCTGAGATCGATGGATGCCAAATGTGCCCACTTTGTGCTTGCTCAGAGCATAACACATTCACACTGATTTGGTAGAGAAATTCTGTAAAGATTTTGTAACCCTATGACTTGGAAATAAATTTCAGAAAAACATGATTGTCATCACAGGTAACTTTAAAAAAAAAGGTGTAAAACATTTCAGATTGAAGATGACTTTTACCAGATACAAGGACACTTACGTAATTCTTTCAAACAGCAAGTCCAACATAAAGGCTGGTTATTATTACAACAGATAAAAGATAATTAAATTCAGTACATAAACCAAGATAATTTATGAAGTTGCTATTTATTAGGCCTTTTAAAAAAATATCGAAATGGTTATGAAATGCTTTGATACCATCAGATCACAATGCTGACAGGTACATTTCCTTAGAGGGCCAGAAGTGGTAGAGATAACAGCTCTCCTGTTATGTGTCTCTTTAACAGTTATTTCTGCCACTCTGAAGTAACTCCTCTGTTTTCTTAGGGAATGCATTCAAGTCCAGCATTATAATGTTAATGGACTTCCAGGAACAATTTTTTTTTTCTTCTTTGCAAGTATCAATGAATTCAAAGAATCAGGAGAAAGACTTTTCTTAATATGTTTCTCAGCTTTCCGCTCAAAGCTTGATTTTGCAGGCAGACCTGACACACTGTCTGCTGCCTGAGTATCCAACTAAATTTTTTTTTCCAGAATGGTTCTATGCAGAGGTTTTTTTTCCTTCCTTCAAAAGACATAAGCCACAGAGTGAAAAACTGATTTGAAGGCTGAATAAATAATGGAAGAAAGAACGTGGAAGAGGAAAGTTGACAGATACAGCTGAAAAAGAATCAGGTCTTTAGCAAAACTTACCTGGAGACAGCTCGTTTAGCTTCTAACCCCTCTTTCAGACCCTTGCTCGCATTGCAAGGACAGCTTTGAAACTTACAAGGCTGCTGATACACCATAGTTTATATCCCTGCATGTTAAAGTTACACAACATGTATTTCATGCTACCCTAATCTTGCAGTCTGAACCAGTAACCATGCAGTAGCTGCTCAGGTTGCCCAGGGCTTCTGGAGAAGGAGAGGAAATCTCAGATCACGGAGGACAGCTGGGAGCAGAAGCCACCTCAAGGTAAACCACTCACACTCAAGTTAAAGGCATGAAGATGTGCAGCACAGGATTTCCAGAAAGAATTACTAGCTTCATAGATCCAAGCTGCTATTAAACGTGCTGAAGAAACAGATGACAGGTCAGCTGAATACGCTGGAATTAAAGCAAAAGCAATACAACACAGCAATTGCTACCATAGAAGAACATGCCCTGAATTACTCATTTCTTGCTTTCAGTGATTTCAAGTTAAAGCAATCAAGATTTTTTAAAACAGGGCATACTGTTCCAGCTTTAGTTGAGATGCGTGTTCACCAATACAAGCAATCAATGCCCCACTCTTTCCAGGCCATGCACACTATCAAAACCTTCAGGCAGTACAAAACAACTACAGGAAGAATAGAAAACAAAAGCAGAGGAAAAGAAAAAAAAAAAAAAAAAAAAAAGCACAATTTTATGTAGAAGGTGTTAGAAAACAGTGGGATTTCTCATAGCTTTTGAGAGAAATAGCTGACTGAGGTGATGTACATATATTAGCCTATTCAAGGTCTTAAAAGAAAAATTCTACAATGCTGCATCTGTATCTATATTTTAAAATAGCAAGTCAGCCACTCAGGAATGGCTTAGCATATATTTTGGGAACAGAATATGACAGATGAGTCATTAACATCAATGCTGTTTGTCTATATTGACACTTGTGGGACTTGTTAGTTTATTTCATCGTGCCCCTAAAATTTGATCTTTTTAGTTGAACCTGGAAACTCTGTCATACTACAGCAATTTCTACCCGCTTGGCGCAAATGAATTTCCATCAGATTCCAGTCAGAACAGCCAGAGGACATTAAAGGAAGCAACTCTACAGCCAATTCATCTAAACAGATGCAGAAGAAAGTGTCCTAGATACACTTAAGTTGTCTACTTTGGTCTGCTACAATGGACACCTTATTCAGGTGCAGTGGATGTGGTCTGTTTGTAATAGCAACCAACGAAGTAAAAGGCAATACCTCTTACAACTGTGTAACTTCCCATAAAGTTACAGCTGAGGATTTCTTACAGGTCCTCTGCTAACAGGAGTAAAATTTAAAAAGAAAATCCTCACAGTACTGTACAGGGAATCCAATCCTGTTTCTTATAAAAAGTCTAGTTAAATATAATCATCTTTCAATCTGTTCTGATAAGAATATTTCTAAATACTGATGCATCCAACTGTTCAGCTTTCAGGCTGGTCTTTTTTTATAAACCCTTTATGAATACAACAATACTCTGGTAAACAACTGCTATTTTGTGCAGGACAGTGTACTTCATATTCGGAGAAACAAAGTGATCAGTAACAAGTAAATAGTAAGAGCGTAACACCCTGATTCAAACATCTAATGAGCAATCTTTCGTTTGCTTATTGATATCATCCCCCAGCAGGAGTTAGAGGAGGTCTACTCCTTTAAAAGACATACTGCTTCTGAGTAGCTGCCACTATTAAACAATAATGTCTGCAAGAGTTAGGAGCTCGTCACGAATAGCATTGTCACATAACCTAATAAATTAATTCAAATTAGAGAACAAGTGAAATTCAATTTACTCAACACATTTGCACACATTCTGAATATATCCCAGTTCTGCCTACTAGCACAGCGAATAAAGATTTCAAATTATATTAGAATCTCCCCTCAGTTCAGCCATGTGCACACACCAGAACCACAGAAAATCATGTTTTGCTTTCTTCTAGTTTCAGTTGAGTTTTGCGATCAAACTCTTCTGCAGAATTCTAGGCCTAATACTAGGTGCTGCAATTAAGCTAAGCTTCTAAAGCACCTGAAGATTATTCTCCCCAGAAATCAAGAACCATTTTTTTTACAAGCTGAATTTCCACCATTAGCAGATGAGTTAAAAAAAATAAATCCAATTTTGAAGAATTCTAGCGTTTGTCTCACAAGTAGGATGATTGAAAATCAGCCATTTGACTTTTTAATATGAAATAAACCTAATTCTATCCCCTCAAAAAAAGCTACTTTTTAAATTAGCACTTAGAAACCAGCGTCATCTGTCCTCCTACTTTTTTTTTTTAAACAATTCTCTAAATTACAATCTGCTATTAAAAATTCTTTACTAGACAGTGCTATAGTATTAATAGCTTTAAAAACTTACAATGAAAAAAAAAAAATCAAGAACAAAGTGACTGAAAAATAAAAAAGGCACTAAGTCCAAGCTGCATTTTACATGCACATACGTATTTGTCTACATATGTAGCTTATGACTATGAATTCATAGAGAATGTGGTCTTGAATTTCTGGTGACTGGGGTAAGTACAAATTGCAACTGAACTGAAACAACTCAGAGCATAAAAAAAAGATGTTCTGGCTGATCTAGTCGAAACAGGTTAAGAATGTATCATCACTAGCTGCCTGTCTCATTGAGCTGCGGAAGACATGTAAGCATTCATAGTCCATTTCAACACAAAATCGTAGCTGAAGTTGGCTTAAATTAAGCACTGTAATTTCACAGTGAAACAGACTTCAGAGCATATAGAGTCCCTCAGATCATCTACAGGAGCTTTGCAGCTTGCTCCTCTCAACTATTAGCCTCTATTCAGTCCTCAGTGCACTCAGTAACACAGAGGGTGTCCCCTGATGCTTGCTCCTCCCAGTACTGCCCTTTCTTTTTAATTTGGCTTTATCTAGTTGTTACTCTGGAAACATTCTTCAGAAAGCTGACTAAGCTACCAGCCCTGTCACGCGTCCTTTCCCTTTTCAAGTCATTTTCTAGAATTAATAAGAGAAGTATTTTTAAAAACCGTACCATTATTTGAAGAGCACCTTGAGCACTTCACAGCCTCAGTACTGAAATTTTCTGAAGTTTATGGTAATTTCCACACATAAATATTCTCTAAGCTACAGTTTTAACCAGGATACCACGCAGAGGTGAAATTCCATAACAAGAATGAAAGATCCATCACATATAAATTAGAGTTATTTGTAAAGCTAAACTTCTACCAAATGCTTTACACTAATAAGAACCATAATTTGTTTTTATTTAAATGCATAAACAAAGTATTCAACATAATAGTTAACTCAAAAATTAAAAAAAATTTAAAAGCTAAACAACCAAAACACTCAAATCAACACTAAATGGTTTTTCTAAAGAATTTAACCAGAATATTTCCCAGGAAAAAGGGAATTATTAAGCTTAAAAGTACAATGCTCAAATATAAACTTTTTATATTTTTCTAAGCAATAACAATGGTAAAATCTCTGCAATACAACAACTGGTACACTTACCTAGCATACGAATGTACAGCGCAGTCTGATCGGAGCTGTCATAGGAAATGGCTCCACGTCTCTACAAAAAAAGGATATTTTATTCATGTTAGAATGAAATTACTGCTCTTTCAATTTAAAAATGAAATATTAATATTAATTACACATACACATTTCTCATAGCCTTCTACTTCAAATACTGGCAGTTCCTTGCTTATTTACTTACCCATGGGTTAACTCAGTTTGTAAAGCTACAATAGTTTCAGAAGTAGAAGAACTTGAACGATACCATTACTGTAATCCCAGGGATTACACCTATTTTCTGCAGGGCAGGATGTGAACGGCACGTTTCCTTCCTTCCACCTTCCACAGCGCTTTCTGTAGGCCAAGCAAGGTACCCATTTAAGGTATTCTGAAGAAATGTCTAAAAGAGTCACCAAGCTGTCCATACACAACACATATAGGCTCCCAACAAGGATGCAATTCTTAACCTACACAAAACTGGCTTTCAGAGCTCCAGAAACAGTAAGCTGATGTGGTAACAGTTATAGTTCAGGAATCACTAAGAATGTGATGAACTGGACTTGCAATAGCTAAAAACTAGGGGAAATGTTCATGTAGTTACACAACACCAGCATCATGTAGCCTTTAGAACTTGGCACAAGCTAGCATCATACTCATGTCTTTCCTTAGTGTATTTCCACTGTCTTCTCCCATTTGCCAACACAGGGCCAAAATCAAAGCTATCTTGACCCTAGAGACAGAGGATTGCCTTCAGTCACAGTTCAATTTCATCAGTTACACAAGAGGGTTTTAGGAGGTTTTGTTAGGTTGCTTTTTTTTCTTGCCCAGCACGCTTAATTACATTCTGAACAGTGCAGTCCTGGGTGTCCCAAAGGGACATATCATATCCCTTGGAGAAGTTCAGATATAAGCCAACCTGTAGGTGAATGCAGGAACCTATTTATTCCTTCCCTAGTAAGAAAACACTACACCAGGGCCGCAGGTCCAAAAACATTCAAGTCCAGAAAGTGTGAAGAAGCAAGAAAAACAGAACTTGACTGTTGAGAAGAACTACAATAAATAAAGAAATTATTGGGAAGTAAAGAAAGGCAAAACTGCTTACAAGAATCTATCTACAGTGCAAACTGAACGTACTTAAAGAAAGCCTAGAGCTTAATAACCTCTATCAGTATGATTTCTGTAACTGATGCGTTACGACTCCAAACCCAGAAAATATTAAAACAACGAAGTAACTTCTATGCTAAAAGAAGGTAGGAAAAAAAAAGCCACAAAACTTTGCACTTGAAATCAGAGAAGTTTTTTCCCAAAGGTAAGCTTAATATTTAATTACAGAAATGACCAAAGACCTGCCTCTAAATCGGGTCCAATTATACTAGCTATTATATAAAAACTACAAGGAAGAACTCTCTGTACAGCACTTTTATACTGTCTTAGCTTTTGTTCCATGTTTCCTTGGAAGATTATAAACAATGCAAATCATCCTTCCCTTGAAATATGTTTGTACAGCAATTCACACAGCAATGTGCCTGTCCTGACAGAGAAGTTAGCAATACAGCTCATCAGTCAGAAAACAACACTGATTTCCCACTAACGTGTTCAAATTTCTTCCTATGACCCTTAGAATTTCAGCGAATCTCAACTGGACGTATTTTCAGTAGCCTGAAGCATTTCATATCATCGATTAAGCACAATCAGTGATGGAATTCAATGCACATCTGCAGTTTGCACTTGCCTATCACATTGATTCTTGGACGCGTCCAGTACAACCCTGTAACTAAACACAGGAGGAAGGTCAGCACAAATGGAGCTAGAAGAACCATAATTAACAGGAGCCTTCACCTCTGAGACAGAAAACAATGCAAAGAAATTGATCAAAATAGAAATAATTTTATAACATTATTTGCTAACAAATCTAAAATAATATCTGCTGGCTAAAATAGCAGATCAAACACATGACCACTTCTTAAGAACATAACCCACTAGCTTATACAAACAGGTGAGTTAATTCTGCAGGGACAGGTACTCACAGAATCTTTATGCAACCAAACCTTTTAGAATCACCTTTCAAAGTTTGGTTTCCTAATGAAAAAGAAGCATTGCATTGTAAATCTCATTACTAAGACTTCAAAAGTAGTAGGATAGTTTCAACAATCTCAACTAATGTTATTACAAGGGTAGAGATCCTACTGATGTTTCATTCACTGAAATTTGTTAAATAAAATAGGTAAGAGAAAATCACTTATTAGCAGGTTCTGCTAAGGGAAAGGCACCAACGAGTGCTGGCAGACAGACCTCACACCTTTAAGCATGTGGCTGGGGAGGGACAGAGCCAGGAGAACTGTGGTATACAGTCAGACAGAAGGGAAGTTAACAGTACCCATGTTTATAGTAAACAGTAACTCAAGTCCAAGCATACTGTCAAATTATTCTATCAAAATTACTTTTTCTTTCTCCTGATCTTGCTCAATTTTGTAAATAACATGAACTCTGTAAAACTATTTCTGGAGCTCTGCCACACTTCTTTGGTCTGCCTGAAGCTTTGTATCTATTAACTAAAGAGAACACACTGAACTCCTTGACCCTCTGTGCATTTCTCAAGCAGATAAGCACCATTCCAACAGGCAGACTGAATTGCCTGTGCTGAAACTGAAGACAATCCGAATGCGTTTAGGTAGTTCTTCTCAAGCACAAGGATAAAACTTGGTCCTGTGAGAATACCTGCTGGGCTCCAAACGATTCAACAAATTCCTCAAATAATTAGGCCAAGTTACTCTCCACTCCTTTCCATACATGAGAACAACAGGCTAACCTGGGTGGACTGTTCTGCTTCAACAGTAAAGACATATCAAAAAGACAATTGGGAAGTTGGAGGGTTATTTACAACACACATCCACTTTGAAAACTTCACCTTAAATTTGACTTTCCTATTGGAGCGTTATCTCTTTTTCCAAAGGACAACGCAGAAAAGTAGTAATTTTTCCTATCTTTTTTTCACATCTGTGTGGAAAAAGTTCAAATTCAAGTGGAAGACCACTATTCCTGCAATGATACAAAAATGCCAGAAAAATGGGTAAAGGGAATATCTATCAACAGATTTTCTTCCTGAAAGTCTTTCCACAAGTGAACAGAAAATTATTATGAGTCATGCTATAGGAACAATGCACCAAAATAGCAGATAGCTGCATCTTCATGAAAGGGAAGCCACTTCACTGATGCTACACAGCATAAACATTTAATAACTTGGGAAAAGAGCACTGCTCTTTTTGGAAGAAGTTGAAGGGATAGAGCCCACCTTCACCAAGTTGTGCTGATGATACCGGAACGATCGGCTGACACATCTGAAGGCTGTGCTACCATTTAATGAGACCTGGACAGACTGGAGAGTTGGGCAGGGAGGAACCTGATGAGGTTTAACAAGAGCAAGTGTAGTTTTGCACGTGGGGAGGAATAACTGCATCCATCAGTACAGGTTAGGGGATGACCTGCTAGAAAGGATTTCTGCAGACTTAGGTGTCCTGGTGGACAACAGATTAGCCATGGGCCAGCAGGATGCCCTCGTGGCCAAGAAGGCCAGTGGGATCTTGGACGTGAACAGCAGGTCAAGGGAGGTGATTCTCCCCATCTACTCTGCCCTAGTGAGGCCACAGGTAAATTACTGTGTCCAGTTCTGGGCTCCTCAGCTCAAGAAAAACAGAGGTCTCCTAGAAGGCCTGGAGCATCACCCACATGAGGAAAAGCTGACACAAAAAGCTAACCTGTTCAGCCTGGGGAAAAGACAACTGAGAGGGGATCTGATAAATGTTTATAAATATCTAAAGGGAGATGGGAGGCAAAGGGATGAGGCCAGGCTCTTCTCAGACATGTGTCAAGGAGTAATGGTCTAAAACCTGAACACAGAACGTTCTGTACTAACATGCAGAACTTCTCTAGGGTAAGAGTGATGGATCACTGGAACAGGTTGCCCAGAGAGGTTGCACAGTCTCCTTCTACGGAGATATTCAAGACCCAGCTGGACACCCACCTGTGTAACCTATTGTAGGGTACCTGCTTTAGCACGGGGGTTGAACTCAATGATCTCTTGAGGCCCCTTCCAACCTCTGTAATACCATGATTGCTCTGTTCAAGCCAGAGAAGTTTTCAAGGATCAGTTTTATCACAGCAATTCCCTCACCCAGTTCAGAGCAAAGCACAATTATTAATGTCAGGCACTTAATGTTGGCGAATGTTCACTAGCCAGACTTCAGGCTGCCAACTGAAACAACTGCTGGTCTCGTTCCATAATGGCAAGAAGAAACTGAAAGAGCAGTAGGTTTTCAAACGTCAGTATCTCCTACCCAAATGAAACAATCTATACTTTCTGATGGGGTGCACAACTTTCATTTTGCAACTCAGTTGTTTACTCAGACTCTGGAAAGCTAGAGGACGGTAACACAGCCAGTCAGATATTTTTTACCTACTTGGCTTTTCTGCCAAAGATATTTGCCCAACAATAAAGAGAGACTGTTCTCAGCAAGAGAAATTGAGAACAAGTTCAGAGAAGTTACTGTGTTATGGTAACTGCAATTTGCTGATCATGCTGTGCCTGTGTACACCCTTGGAAACAGTTTAACATTCTAAGACGGTTTTTCAACTAGAAGCACCTAGAATGACAAACTAATTAGACTGGATTTCTTTCACTATTATTGGATTTCAAAAGCGAGACTGTCATTTAATGCAATTCCTATAATGATTTTGGTAATTAAAAATTCCTGAGTGTTCCACAAGATACCACCAGAGTTTCACTCAGTAAACTACTGGAAAATGCTCCTTAAAACCAACGAAAGAGTTGTCATTAACCAAAGGCAAGCCACTGCAAGACAGTCCTACTACGATTTTGTAAATTGTTCATTGAAGTTCAAAGCAGTCATTTTAAAAGTTTATCAGACCAGAGATATGAAAATGTATTTAATTTCAGGAAGGCAAATGTTAATAAGCAATCCGATTAACTTTATGCATGTATATATCAAACATTTGAATGTGGCTACTTCATATAAATATCAAACCAAGACAAACATAATT